GGGCTTGCTCAAGGTCACACAGCCTGGGGAAAGGGCAGGGAGGTGCTGAATGCAGGTCTATCTGGTTTCAAAGTCTGTGCTAGTCCTGTCCCATCATGCCACTCTGCCTGTCTACCTCCAGTCTGACCCAGTGCATGGCAATTTGTGGATAAACAGTGAGTGGGAAAAAGCAATACAAACCGGGAGGGTTTGCAGAGATCCCAGAGGCTGGAACGAGTATAAAAATAACCAGGTATGTTCACGGGAATCTTCAAGTCCCCAAACAATATATTTTGTGCTAAGATTGTTTTTGTAAAGATGCCGGTGGTGCAGGGTCCTATGGGAACGGGAGGAGTGAGCAGGGGGCTCGCTTTCTAAATTCTTTAGCCTGCACTCTCTAAAACAGCAGTCCACTAACCACATATAGCTATTTAAATCACTTAAAAAATTTTTTTTTTAGTGCGGTGAAAATATACACCAAAACTTTCACCAACACATCAACTTCCATGTTTACAGTTCAGTGACATTAATTACATTTTTCATGTTGTGCCACCATTAACCTGTTGCCATTGAGTCGATTCTGACTCATAGCAGCCCTATAGGATGGGAGAACGGCCCAATAGAGTTTCCTAGGCTATAATATTTATGGAAGCAGACTGCCACATCTTTCTCCCACAGAGCGTCTGGTGGGTTCGAACTGTTCGGTTAGCAGTCGAGCACTTAACCCCTGTGCCACCAGGGCTCCTTCTGCCACCATCATTGCTATCCTTTTCTAAAATATTCCACCACCATTAACATAAACTCAACGCCCTCCAAACAAAAACTCACCCTCTCCTTCTCCCTCCCAACCCCTTTCACCCCGGTAACCATTAATCATTTTTGGTTTCTCTACATTTGCTTATTTCACATGAGTGAGATCATAACAGTATTTGTCTTTTTACGGCTGACTTAACTTGTTCACCATAATAATGTTTTCAAGATTCATCCATGTTGGGCATACATTGGCTATTTAAATTAAAATTAATTAAAATGAAATAAAATAAAAAATTTAGTTTCTTGGTCCTACTTCATTTCAGATGCTCGGTATTTGTATGTGGTTAGTGGCTGCCCTCTTGACAGTGCATGTATAGATAGTTTCCATCATCCCAGAAAGGTCCACTGGACATTATTGTTCTGAGCCACCAGCAAGCTGCTCCTGCCTTGTCAAACCCCTGACGGTCCTGGAGGAGAGGGATCTGCTGACCCAGGTGACAGACAGACTTGTTTCAAGATAGGTCCCTCTGCAGCCGAGGTAGCTACAGATGTCATCCCAACACCTGAGCCCCTCTACTCCATTCTGGAGGAGCCACAACTCCAAGGATGGAAATAGAAGACAGACCCCATTAACTGAGGCCTTGCTACTCAAAGTGTGGTGCAAGGACCAGCGGTATCAGCCTCTCCCAGGAGACGAATCTCTGGCTCTGCTCCAGATCCACTGAATATGAACCTGCATTTTAACAAAGTCCCCAGGTGATTCATGAGCACGTTCAAGTTTGAGAAGCTCTGACTTAAGAGATAGGCTGAGCGGGATCAAAATAATGCCCCAAATATAGGAAACCAAACAGATACTTTTAGATACAAAAAATAGCACCAATCCCCCCATCCCACCCCCCAGTGGTGTGTGACTAAGGATTAGTCACAGAGGGCTGACACCCTGTGCCACATCATCAGTGAACATATTCCCAAGGACAGACCCAGGGGTAAGCTGGGGGGAGCCAGCCCACTCCCCATCTGCAGCACCCTCTCAAACCACAGTGGGGTCACCCCCCAAAGCAAAGGCCACAGACCAAGAGACCCACAGCTGGGATTTGAGGGACTTCAGCTTTAATTGAGATTTTCGATTTTTGCTTTTCTTCTCAGTGCATTTGGGTTCTGACCCTTGTAAATGCAAAGACACAATGTGATGCACAAAGCCAGTCTGAATAAGCGCACAATCATTTAAAGGGGAAGAGAACTGGGTCCCCCCTCCCCCTTCCCAGGGGTGTGCGGCTCCGCAGGCCTCAGTGCCTGGTGGTTGTTGTTAAGTCAGTTCCAACTCATGGTGACCCCACGTGTACAGGTAAGGGTTTTCAAGGCTGTGACCTTTCAGAAGTAGATTGCCAGACCTGTCTTCCAAGGTGCCTCTGGGTGGGTTTGAACTGCCAGCCTTTTGGCTTGGGTTAGTAGTTCAGGACTTAACCGTTTTTGCCACCCAGGGACTTCATTCAGTGCCTGGAGCCAGGTGTTAATGAAGCTTTCTGGGAAGAAATCAGCATTAAGACTATTTATGAAGAAAACAGGTGCAAAAGTGGTTCTGTCCTCAGAAAGGGTGAAGACGAGGTTTCAAATGAGACTTGGATCATCAAACTGTCCCCAGCTGGGGAGGCTGGCTGCTTTGGAGAGAGGTCTGGCTGTGTGGGTTCTTCGGCTTGCTAGGCGCCCCCCTACTTTCGGTGAGGATGACTCATGCCTTAATTCCTTCTTTCCTCTCAGCCTACCTTGGGTCTTACTTATTTTTATCCCTGGCTTGGAGTTAAGTTGCCGAAAAGATGTTCTTTTCTCCACCTGCAAGGGCCCTCCTAGAAGATAAATTTTAAAACCTTCATTTTTACAACTTGCTTCCAGCAATAAAGAAGAGGACAAGAAGGCTGGGAGAGGAGAGGGGGACAGTGACGGGCCCAGAGGGGGAGCCTTGGGGAACTGCAAAGTGATGCTGAGACTGAAGAGGTGTTCTAGGGGTTAACTGTGAGGGGATAATCGGGCAGGGTGGAAGGATCGCTGGTCAAGTACAGCTCCTCATACCTCTCTTTATAGTACTGAAAACAATCAAAGCAAAACCTGCAAAGGGTCTTCTGTTTTTGTCTATCCAGCACGCAGACCCCCTTATTTTGATAACAAACCTCAATTTTTCTCCAGGAATTGCCCCTCGCCCATTGCATGAAGGCTAGATGGGTCTGTCAATCAAGACGCCTGCTCTCTCCTTGAGCCAATTTGATGCTCACTTCCTTGAAGGGAGAGACAGCAAGATCTGGAAATATTTGGATTTACCCACCCTGATGGTGGTGCGTGAGGGGGCTGCCCCCTGGTTCTGGCAACCTGGATCCCTAGCCATATCCTCATTCTGGTCTTTCTTGAGATCTGGCTATTCACTCTTTCCTGAGAGTCCATGTGGCACCCCAAAACTCAAGCATTTTGCTTCAGTTAGGCAGAGTTGGTTTCTATTATTTATAACCAGGAATCCAAACTGACACAAACCCAAATGCCCAGTAATACAACTTAGATCGATAAAGTCTGATATAGCGCCCAATGGAATACTACGCAGCCAGGTACGGCGATGAGATAATACATATTTGTTGACATAGGAAGATGTTCATGATGTATAGTGAAGTGCAAAAGCAAATTATAAAACAGTATGCATAATATGACACCATGTTTGCAAAATACATATTCTATGTTCGTAGAAAAAGGTCTCGTGGAAGAAATACAGCAATATTCATTCTGGAGGGTAGCAGGGTGAATGATTTTTCTTTTTGTTTATTTCCTAATCTTTCTACAATGTTTGTGTAGTGAAAGAGTTTTCCTGTTTTGTTTTGAATGGGCACAGGTGGGTTGCTGGAGCCATACCTCTCGATGCCTCTCAAGAGGAAGTAAATTGCTGAACTTATTTACCAAACTCCAGGGCTCCTGCTCTAGAAGCCGCTCACCTGTAGCTCTGGCTTCTGTTCAAGAAGATGCTGGGAGCATCTGCATCTCCAGAAAAAGGATGAAGCCCTACAACCCCCTGCACCAGTATCATCCCATCATTCCCATAGTGACCTTGTAGGTGGGGGATTTTCCCTCTGCTTTACGGAAAAGAGGAGCCCAGAGAAGCGAGACAACCTGCTCAGGTTCACACCGTGGGATTTAAAGCCAGGTCTCCTGGCCCAGAGCCCCAACACCCCAGGGGCTACTCAAGTTGACTACTAGAACCCAAATGAAGGGGCAGAGCACGGGGAAGGGCTGCAGTTACCTTGTAAGTTCAGCTGTGTGGACCGGTTGCGGAGGGTGTAGGGGTTGGGGGGGGGGGACAACTCCTCATTCAGCGTTGGGACCTGAACTCTTTGCTCTGCAGAGGGGCCTCAGCATTTCACACCTCCTCCCAGGGGACGCAGGTGATGGTCACTGGGGAGAGTAGAAAGGGAGCCCGGACTTGTGGGATGTTGGTCCATTTGCAGGATACTCTTTCTGCTGCTCCTTCTTATCTCCTAGGTCTCAGCTTGACAGTCACCTGCCCAGAGTGGCCCTCCCTGACCACCTAAGGTAGGTCCTGATTACTACTACCTTGGCCCCGTTTGTCTCTTCTGTTGCACTTCATACCACTGCAGTTATTTTGCTTATCTGTCAATTTACTTTACAGTCTATCGCTCCCCGTTGACTGTGCACTCCCCCAGGGCAGGTTATGACTGTCCTGCTCACAGCTGTGTCCCTGGCATCTAGCCCATGTCTGGTCCGTTGCAGACACTCACCAAGTATCTGCTAAATGACTGACCGGATGAAGGGGGGGCCAAGAAACCTCAGGGGCCAGGCTTACCTCTGCCTTTCACTGGCTGCGTGACCTCAGGCAAGTTGCTGTCCCTCTTTGGGCGTCTTCCAAACCTCAACCCGCCAACCAAACCCACTGCCGACAAGTCAATTCCAACTCATAGTGACCCTACAGGACAGAGTAGAACTGCCCCATAGGGTTTCCAAAGATGTAAATCTTCACGGAAGCAGACTGCCACATCTTTCTCCCACAGAGCAGCTGGCGGGTTTGAACTGCTGACCTTTTGGTTGGCTGCCGAGTGCTTTAACCACTGTGCCACCAGGGCTCTTTTTAAGCTTCAACCTGAGTATAAATATCAACTCAGTTTAAGGGACTGGCTTCACATCTCCTGAATATATTAGGACCAATTCAAAGGGAAGGTAATAGAAGTTGGAGTCACCAATTCCTTGTTTACTAAATTGCCTCTTACATCAACTGCTTGTTGATAATTCTTTCTGACGATAACATTGCGGCGGTTTTCTCAGGAGTCACTGATGTGCAAAGAGCTCAATCAGGTTTTTTTATTCAATAAACTCTTTTATTCTAGTTCACAGATTTTTCCATTACAATAATGAAAATAGTACTAGTGATTCGTTAACACTTAGACCCAAGTCAAAGGGAAACCCCTCCTCATATGAAAAAGTAAATGACACATAACTGAACATATAGTAAATGCTGGGCAAAAGGCATTGAAAGTATAGAAAATGGGGCCAAGGCTTTTTTTGTGTGTGTGCATACACTTGAAGATTTCATTGATCAGGAAGCCACCATTTTAGAAAGTACATGGTTTTGAAAATTATATGATTATGATAAAACTCAACTATAGAGAAAAGGCAAAACCAAGCTAAACAAAACAAGAAGGAAGTGGAGCTTATACATGGGGTCAGTATGCAAACCTCCGGTCCTTTGGCCCTGGAATGGCAAGTGAGTGGGTTTCATAGAAATTCTCCATAGAAAGGAATGTCTGGGGCCTGCTGTAGGGTGGCCCTTGTCTGACATCGCTGCGTCTCTGAGTCCTTGTCTCCTCATAGAGGAAAAGAAGTTGCCTGTCCGACAGATCTGCCTGGGGTCTGCCCGGGCTGGGGCCTATGTTCCCAATCCCTTTGAGAACAGTCGCAAATCCCGAAAAGGCAAGACATGTCTGCAGCGGCTCCAGGAGCTGTGGGGAGACGGGGTCAGTGTCTGCCCCTGGCCCTGCCAGAGCTGTCCGAGTGGTCTACTGGGAGTGGGTGAGCCTCAGTGTTGAACACCCAGTCTTCCTGGGAGAGCACATCATCTTCAGAGAACAGAAGATAGAGATACCTGTGCCCCAAGGCAGGGCAGGGAAGCAAGACACAGCTGTCAGTGCCCTGGTGAAGGGTGAGCACACTGGCAAGGAACTTCAGAGGCCTCTGCAATGGGCTGGGGCTAAGGACACAGGGAGGTCAAGACCCAGAACCGCTTGGAGGGCTGATCCCAGGGAAGGAGGCTGTGGATGCCAAGGAAAGCACTGAGCTTTGGGGTCAGACACACCTGGTTTAATCCTGGCTCTGTCCCCTGCCCCCACTCTGATACGGCACATCTGCCAGCTTCACTCAGGCACTTTGCCTACCTGGCCCTGTATGTGAGCCCTGCTAGGACCCCTTACAGCCTAGATTCTCCTTTCTTTCCAAGAGTGGCCTGAATGCTGCACTAGTCCAAACTCATACTGCTCCCTTACACATCTCCTGAGGAGACTCTACCCTTGAATGTATGTTGAGAGCACTAAACAAAACAGCTTCCCAGGGCATGAGAATTTTCTATTGGAGGGAGATGACCATTCCAATCCACCCTAAAGGGTTAGAGCACAAAGGGCTTGTTTTTGGGAACACCATGGAAAAGAGGTGGCTAAATTCCATCGAAAAAAAGAGATGGAGTGATGCAGCAGCAACGCCGCAGAGGCCACAGGAGGAAAAGTTAACAACAGCGACCAGTACTGGCACCATGTGCCAGGCAGTGCGTTATCTCGCTGAATTCTCTGAATGTCCTTATCAGGGACTTCACCATCGTTATTCATCTTACAAATAAGGACAAACTTTCAGAAAACTGAAGGTATCTGAGGAAACAGTTTAAAGAACTTAAGTTCTAAACATCACACCACTAATACTTAGGGGGCTGGATGCTGACCCTGTCCCCCAGTCCCTGGACTCGAGGCTCACTTGGGTGAATAATCCTGTGGTTCTCAACGCCCCCCTTCCCACTTGCCCAGTCCTGTGACTCCAGAACCTAACTGTTGGTGAGGGGAGAGGGAGGCTGACGCCGTCCCACCTGCGTCCCTCCGTCCCTAAGAAAAGTCCATGTCCCCCTCTGGAAAGACCATGGACTGAGCCCCGACTCACTTCAATGTCTCCGCTAGAAAGAAACTCTGCTGCTTGTTGTCGTGGTTGGGGATGCTGCTGTAGACATCTTGGATCCCGGAGAAGCCTCCTTCTGTCCGACAGTGTTTCTCCAAGGCCTGGGGAAAAGGAAGGCCACCTATAGTGTGGGGAGGGGAGAGGCCCCCCAGGACTCGGGCCTGCCAGAGGGCCGGAGCTTGTGGATAGCCAGGCCCCATTATTCCCATGGCTGGGGATCCCCGGCATTTGCAGGAAGCTGGAGGCCAAATTATTCTTTCAGGTTTTGGCCGCCGTGCCCCCATCCCTCAAGGCTGGAGGGGCCGCACTCCCTCTGCCTCCCCATGAGAACTCAGTCCCCATGGGCTGCCTGCCCTGAGCTTTGTACCTGGTTTGAACTTAGAGGGGGCTTCTCTTTGCCTTTCAGGGAAACTAACCTATTCTGACAAATGCACCGCAGTGGTGGAAGGAGATAAAGGAGGGCCACTGGTCAAGTTCATGGGCTGGGGCTTGGGGAATGGACTCTGGACACCTCCAGACATGGTCCCTGAGCCAGAGGCAGGTGGGGCGCCAGGCTGTCTGCATTTTGTATATAAATGTATTTTGTATATGCATGCAATTTTTAGACGGGCCCAGGGGTACAAAACACTTCCCCTTTGAAGGTCAAGAACCAGGGCCTCGGAGGAGTATGTAGACTCAGGCCACCAGGCATGCTTTGTGGGTCAGGGGGACCAACCTGAGCAGGCACCCCTGTGCCCTGCCTGAGCACAGCACTGAGTGTGGCCTCTACCCGTGTGGCCATCAGAGATTTGGGACAGGGGGCTGGAGAGGATGGGTGCGGCTCAGCATCCACCGAGGGGCCTTCTGGAACCCCCACAGCTGCCTGTGACAACCAGCCCCAAGAGGGCCAGGAGAGTCCCAGCTAGAGGTTTGGAGGCCGAGGGGAGGGTGTGCCAGGAGGGCTCGTGGAGGAGAGACTGGGGGGCAGGGCCCAGAGAGGAGTTGGGGGGTGCCTGGGCCTGGGCTGGCTTTGGGAGGAGGATGGAGGCAAACTGCTGACCTGGCAGCCAGTTCCTGTTGGATGGGAGACATGTACACGAGGCTCTCCAGGCTTCGGGGTCGGGAAAGGGTCTGCTGGGAAAGGAGTGGTCGAATTGTGCTCTTGGCTATGTCTGGCTGCCCCCTGCCTTTGGTTCTCTAAGTTTACCCCACACCTGGGCCCCACACCCAAAGGTTGTGGGCCCTTGAGGTTGACTAGGGTGGCGACCAGGACACTCTTCACAAGTTTCTGACCTGCTGGGTCCCACTGCATCCTCTGCTCAGGTCAGGGCTCTTGGCTCTGCAACCACAACCTTGACCCTCTGCACTTTGAACCTCATCCAGATGTCAACCTAGCTTGACCCTCTGCTCGGTGCCTGAGCTTAGGGGGTTTTGATCCCCGCCTGTGAATTCTCAGGGGTGCCTGCCTCCCTGTCAACCCACCCTCCTGGGCTCACTCACCATCACCACTTCCCAGCCCCACTCCCTGTAGATGGGGTCGTGGGTCAGCCGCCACAGGTACATGTAGCTCTCCACCACCTCGGGCCGCAGGATATAGTAGCTCTCGCTCAGCTGCGTGGCCACTGCCTCTCTGCCGGAGTTAAACCAGAAGGCCTCGGGCCCGAGCTTGGTATCTGCAGGATTGTCCAACCAGAGGGCCTGGGTCAGACCTGCCATCGCCTGCTTTTCAGGATCCTGCTGCCCCAGGGGAGATTTCATGCCTAGAAGCCCTCTGCTGGGGTGATGGTTAGTGATGGACTGGCATAGAGTGGACCCTGCAGGAATGGTCTGATGAGGCTGCTCCCGGAGCACACACATAGCTTCTCTCTTGGCCTAGCCTGGCCAAATCAAGACCCTTGAGGCCTCAAGAATTTTGCAGTTTTGGACTCTGTGAATCCAAATGAACCACAGTACTCCACATTCTGGGAAGACAAAAGTGCAGGCAGTGTTTCCCAACTGTGTATTTTGAGACACTAGCTCTGTGAGATGTTAGCCAGGATTCAGCCAAGAAAGGGTTCCAGGTTAAAACGCATTTGGGGAACAGTGGGTTAAACAAAGTGAAATAGTCTTTTGTCTGCAGGACTTATCAGGTCCTTAATATGCTAATGTATCATAATGCTCCTCCACAGACCCCCTTTCTTAGGGAACTGCTTTTAATTTCTCCCTGACCCAGCCTTCCAGAGTTCACAGTTTGGGAAACTGCTAAGGTGAAGATGAGGGGAAGACTTGCCCAGAAACGTACTCCCTACGCAGGCAGAGACAGCTGAAGAAAGAAGGCCTGATGAGGTTTAGTTTTTTATTGTTATTTTTTGGACAGTTTTCTGCCATTCCTGTTTTCTGGGTGACCACAATTATAACCACCACTGCAGCCACAATTTGAAGTGCTTTGCTAGGTGCTTTACATACATTATTTCAAATCCTTAAAAAATGTTTTTGTGCTAAATCCAACCCACTGCTGGTGAGTCAATTCCGACTCATTGAGTAGATGTTATCCCTCTCTCACGCATGAGGAAACTGAGGATCAGAGAGGATAAGTCATTTGTCCAAGGTAACAGCAAGTCCTGGTGAAGCTGGGATGTGACCTTAGATCTGATACCCTCTCCCTGGGCTGTGCTCTCTTTCCCTCCTGGGTCTGACTCTCTAGGTCCAAAATTTAGGGTATGTGGGTCAGATCTTCCTTCCTAATGCCTGTACATCCTGTCTAGCTCAGTTGTGTGCCCAGCTCTGGCCTTGATGGGTGCCTACACTCCCTCCATTAGGGCTCAGGACCCTGAAGGCCCTGAGCTGCTGTTCCTCAAGATGGGGATCAGAGCTTTGGAGGACATCCTACTCTTCCATGGAGGGCTTCACGGAAGAAGAATTAGCTAGACTCTGGCCCCTCTGCCCCTCTCAAATGGCACAGCCACTCACGGCCATTAGCAAATAGGTTTGCCAAGCTGCTAATGGGGGTGAGGGCAGCAGTGACTGTTGCAGCCATTTGTGGGATGAGCTGGGCTGGCGGGAACAATATACTCTATTAAGTGGGTTGTCCTTTATGGTCTGGGCTAACTGTCCCAGAAAAATAGTGAGTTTTTTTTATTCCTGAGATTTCCTATTTGTTTATGGCCCTGGCAGTTCGAGCTTGTTGAAGGAAATGGAAGCCCAGCTTTAAAGACCTGTTACGACATTGCTGGCTTCCTGGAAACAGCTCCAGGGGAACCAGATTGGACTGGAGCCGTGAGAACCATGTCTGCGGTGTGCCTGGAGGGTGGGTGCTAACAAATGCCTCCCGTGACACTGGCTGCAGATGGTGGGCCAAGTACTTTTCCTGTGGGACCCTCCACCTCACCCCAGGAGAAGACCCATGTTATTGTTCCCATTGAACAGATGAGAAAATGGAGGCCACCCAGCTGGTGAGTGGCAGAGCAGCATCTGAGCCATGGTTTTTACTGCCAATCTTAGGTTCTCTCCTTCACTCGTGACCCAGAGCAACAGGCATCCCCTGGGGCTATTGGGAGCCAGGGGTTTTTCTCAGAGGTGCTTCTTAGAGAGGCAGCATGCAAGGTGGGACTGGACACCATAAGTCCTGGGTTCTAGTACAGGCTCAACTGCTCACATGCAGTGCGACTTTGGACAAGTTACTCCCTCTCTCTGGGCTGACTCAGTTTCCCCATGCACAGAATGAGGAGTTGAGTTCATGCTCTCTAACGTGACCTTTGACTCTAGCATTGGCAATTCTGCAGTGAGTGCTGGGTGGGGATGATGAAGAAGCATCAAGTGTTTGGTGGTCTTGGGTCAAAGGGCTGAACAGAGTGGTGCCAGGGGGTAGTGAGATCCACTAGATGGGGAGGTGCCAGTGGGGAAAGGCACAGGCATGTCTAGGGCTAGGGGACTGAGGCCAAGGCATCTGCTAGGCTCAGGAAGCAAGAGTTCTGCCTCAGGGACTGGAGGGCCCTCCACTCTGTGCCCCTCACGTAGGACTTTGCCCAAGTCATGTCTGACTCTCAGTTTCTGCATCCATGCTGAGACTCAGCCATGATGTGTGTCAAATGCCGCATAGCATGAGGTACACACGGAATGCTCAATACAACATCATTATTTCCTCTTCAATTTAGACTACAACCTCAGTGTGTAGACAGCATGTCCCTCGTTCAAGCTACTTAACTTCCAAAGGGAGTTCCCTTCACTCACTGCTGCTCTGCCAGTCTTTCCAGGACTTCCTGGTGTCTAGCCTCAGTCTCTCCTGCTGCCCCTTCCCTTGGCAGGGTTACCTGAGCGGGCGTACGATTCGTGGCACGTCTTGGTGATCTGGGCTGCAAGCTCTCGGTAGTGGGCCCTCTTCTCTTCCTTGGCATCCTCAGCGCCGAGAGCGATCATGCCCCCCGAGAAACAGGCCAGGTGCCCCATCTTGTGGTCCAGAATCCCCCCTCGCCACTCAGCAATGTAGGTCAGCCCCCCAGGAGAGACATTCAGCAAGTAGGTCTCTATTGCCTGGGAGCAGGGTAGGGATTGAGCAGGGAGAGGGCATGGGAGGGGACAGAGAAGGAAGGGGGAGAGGGCGCAAGTGAGTATTGTGGAGACAGCAGTCACTGCAGCTCTGCCGAGCCCTCCAGCCCAGGCATCCTAGGCGTGGTGCTCGAGACAAGACGGGGCTGGCGGGTGGTCCCGCCGCTTGCTGAGTGAAGCCTGGGGCCTGCAGGGTGCTCCCGGGGGCGAGTCTCGTATACATTCAGGGTCTTCGGTCTTTAAAATGATCTCCCACCTCCATTAGAATCTCTGCTAGGGGTCCTTCACCTGAAGTCCGGTTGGCCTGCAGATGGGCTTCGGGGGGTCTAGAAAGCCCCAGCAGCTGTATGCAACACTTCTGGATGTGCGTTTTTCTGGGGAGAGGGTCCATATGCGTTATTGGATTTTCAAAATGGACCCACAGAGCATGAAAAGCTGCTCTCCACAGGCGCTTTATCACCCGCCTCCTCCTTTAATGCTCTCAACAAGCCAAGCAGATGGGTCCTAGTGCGCTTTACAGACCTGTCCCAGGTCACCCAGCCAGGCCGGGACTAGGACCAGGACCCCTAGATGCCCAGAGCACTGCTGCTTCCATATCTGATGGCTGCTCCACTTTGGTGGGAAGCAGCTTTGAGGCCCCTTCCCTGCTCCGCGGGAGGTGACGCTGTTGGTACAGGTCCCTGGATGCTGGGGGCTATGTGGGTGACAGGCCATTGTGCTACCCATTCCCTGCTCTTGGTCCCGGGAGGCCTGAAGATAGGATGTGATAGCGGCAGCCATGCACACAGCCTGCAGGCCAGACTCTGCGATGGACTGAGGGTCCTGGTCCACTGGTCAGGGACCTCTGGGACCCTCGCAGGCCTCTGCTTCCACTCTTGCCCCTCCAATCTGTTCTCGAGGGGAATCTCTGTACTCTGTAAATCACAAATCAGATCATGTCTTGTGCCTGCTTAAAACCCTTGAGTAGTTTCCAAGTACCCTTTGGAGAAAGTCTGCAGGGCCTCCAAGACTCATATCTATACCCTGAGGTTGAACCCAATGCCGCAGACACGGCTCCTGGGGACAGACTTCCTAGGTTCAAATCCCACCTCCACGAGTTCCAAGCTGTGTGAAACTAAGCCTCAGTTTCCCCCTGTGTAAAATGGGGATAAGAGTGTTACCTACTTCACAAGATCGTAAGGATTAAATGGGGTGTGTCTACAGAGCTTTGTATATTTCCCAGCACAGACAGAGTCCTCCATAAACGTTGGCTATTACAACTCCTCTCCTGCCTGTCCTCTGCCCCTCATGCCCCTAACCCAGCTGCACTGGCCTCTTTTCATTCATGCATTACCCTGGCCTGGCCGCCCCCTTCTGTCTAATATTTCATGAGTGCCTCCTCAGTGCCAGCTCTGTGCGAGGCACTGGGGATGCAGCTGTACCAAAGACAGGCTGGCCCTGCTCAGGGAGCCACCCCTGAGGATAGAGACGGCAAACTAACTTTCCAGCAAACTAAGCTTGTTAGAACCATACTTTGTGAGCAGCATTTTGAATGAAACAAATTGAGGGGCTGAGATAGAAAAATGGTCTCTGTAAAGGTGACATTCACGTATTTTCTCCCTGCCCCCTTCCCCCCCTTCCTGTCCGCCCTGACTGTGCCTGCCAACTTGCACTCAGCCTCAGGCCTCCTCCGGAATGTCCCTGCCTTGGAGAGGCCGCCCCTGCTCCTCTCTCTTCATCACAGCCTGTTGGTTTTCTGCATGCTGCCCCCTCCGGCTTTGTGTATACATATCTGGGTATATTTCTGTTGATGTCTCTCTCCCAGGACTCTGATGGAAGAAGCCACCATGCCTGGCATAATGAAGGTGCTCAAACAATGTTCGCCCCTTGTCTGTCTTCTCCTTTTCCCTCTTTTGTAAGTCTAGGGCTGGTGGGCTGGCTTCAGGACCCTCACCCAGTGGCAGGTGGGGAAGCTCTGATGATGGGATGTGCCAGGGCACCTGCTCCAAATGGGGTCGGGCACTGGGAGGGTGGCTGGCCGCTCGCCTGGGGTCTACTTTGGGGCCGGCCCTGGCTCCTGGGCAGAGCTGGGTCAAAGGTAGGCACGCAGGTGCACCGAGAGGTGTCAGGGCTAGTCCAGGCGCAGACACCTGGCTCAGAGTTACCAAGTGTCAACGTTTGGGAGAGAACACAGACACTGTGGTGGTGGTGGGGGGGAGGAATCCCAGGATGCCCCTCACTGAAGCAGGAGATTTGCACCTTCCAGATCATCTACCACAGAATTTAGAACCATTTTCATTTGGGATTAATCCCAAACTGAGTAATTATGGCAAAGAGGATATTATAGGCCAGTCTCTCTTTGAGAATAAATTGAGACAAGCAGATGCAAAAGAAAAGAAACAAGGCTTTCTAAAACCCTAAGCAAAACACAAGACAGCACAGGTTGGCAACCAGCTGGTGAGAGGCTTAAATCATAGCAAGAGACAGTGCACAGAGCTAGGTGGGGAGTCAGAGACTCGGGTTTGAATCCCAGCCCTGCAATTTGAGAGCTGGGTGACCCTGGGTAAGTTATTCTACTTTTCTGAAGGCTTATCTTCCTCATCTAAAAAGTGGGGATATTAATTCCTGGGATGGTTCCGAGGATTAAAGGACAGAATAGTCAGACTCTAGCTCAGTGCCTGATAGATGCTCAACAAATGCTCTTTCCTTTTCCTTCTGGGGAGAACCCCCATCTGAGCACGAGACGGGCTGTGAGGTGAACCAGGTTCTTCTGCAATCTGGCAGCTTGTATGTGGAGGCAGGAGCTCTGAATTTGGGGTCAGTCAGAGATGGGTTTGTGTCCTGGCTCTGACACTTGTTGCTGGGTGACCTTGGGCCTTTCTGAGCCTCAATTTCATCATCTATGAGATGGGAATAATAATACCTGCTTTCGCCAAGTTGTGGCAATTAAACATGACCAGGTACTTATAGGAGGCCTGCAGTGACAGAAGCTCTTGCTGTTATTCTCATTGCCTCTCCTCCTGTCACACACAGGCTGTGCCCCGTGGGACCTGTCTACACCCCCACGCCCATCGCAGCTAGACATTTGTCTAACCTGGTGGTTTCCAACCCTGGCTGCACATCAGAATCACTGTGGGAGCTTTGAAAAAGGGTTAATTCTGGTTTAATTGGCCTGGCGTGGGACTCGGGCATAGGGAGTTTTAAAAGCTGGTTCCCAGCCCAGGTGCACATTGGAATCACCTGGGTATATTTGGAATGCTGATACCTGGGCTCTACCCCTGAGGCTCTGATGTAATTGGTCGGAGGTGGGCCTGGGCATTGGGATCTTACGGCTCCCCAGAACAATCTTCAAAGCCCCAAACATGCCAGAGGCCCAGCCTTTACTGGGGTCAGAGAGGCTCCAGACTCTTCCCTGGGGAGATGAAATGCAGGGAGCAAAGCCGAGTTCTACCCTGTTCAGTCAAGTGCTTCCATAAACTCCCAGTTTGCTTAAATAATTCACGGCCATTTCTTTCCTTGAAGCCTCAACTACAGTATGCCCTGAGGGGAGCGAACCAGGCTGTTCGTTAACTTCATGTTTGTTTTGCAAGGGACTGCAGACACTGCCCCTCCTGCCAGTATACCCTGGCCACTGACCGGGCCCTAACCCAGGGGTAGGTGGCCATGGTCTCCTCCAGTTAAAGCCCAGGTGGGGGTGGGGCTTAGACCCAGGCTGATCTGGGACTGCAGTCCCAGTAGCCGCTTCATGACTGAGGTGCTGGTTGCCGGAGAACTGAACAGGGAAAATTCAGCACCCTGCCCACAGTTTAAAGGGTCCATGGCTCTGGAGGCCTGTTTCAATGTCAAGGCAAGCACTACCATTCCTGGCCAGATTCGTGGGATCAGAGGGTAGTTAGAGATCATTCGTCCATCCATCCAGCCAACTGCGTGCATCCGTCCGTCAGTCTGTCTGTGTACATCCATCCATCCATCTCTCCTTCCATCCTTTCAGCATTCATCCATTATTCATTCATAAAATAGTTATGGTACACCTACTATGTGCCAGGCCCTGTTTTAGGAGCAGGGCATACAGGGTGTGCGAGCAGACAAGACTCCTGCTCCTATATAGCTCATATTCTATCTGGGGAGGACAGACAATAAACAAGTAAGTACACGCATATGATAGTTTAAAATACTGATAAAGCTAAGGAAGAGAATAAGCCTGGGGGACACAATGGAGAGTGCCTGGGGAAGGCTACATTTGAGCTGAGAGTTAACTGACACATGGGAACCACCCATTTTAATGGCATTCCAGGTACAGGGGACAGCAAGTGCAAAGTCCCTGAGGTGGGAATGAGGCTGGTGTGTCTGAGGAGGAGCAGTAAGGCCAGTGACTAGAGCCAAAAGAGCAGAGAGGAAAGAGTTGGGAGAGGAAGTCCGAGTGACCTGCAAGTGCCCAGATCATGTAGGACCCGGTGGGTAAAGGAGAGGAGTTTGGATTATTCCAAATGCTAAGGGAAGTCAGTGAAGGGAAGGCCATGCATTTTCAGCTTCTCTGGCTGCGTGTGTAGAATGGACTGGGTGGACGAAGCAGGGGGGAAGCAGGAGTCCAGTTCAGAGGACAAAAAGTGCTAGCTTACATCAAGATGGCAGCAGAGTAGATCCAACCTGCTCAACTTACTTTATAGGGAAACTGAGGCCTGGAGCAGCAAGGTAACCATACGTGTGTCCAGCACAGGGCCTGCCCAGTACCTTTTCCTTGGGGGGCTCAAAGGTATCTGTTGGTGGGAGCCCATAATCTCCCCTTCTGTCTGAGAGTTTCCCCCTCTCTGGAGGGACTTGCTCAGCCTCTTGTCCCTCATCCATCCCACACCCTGTGGATGAAGCCAACGGACAGACCAGCAGTGGTACAGGGCAATGAGGATAGCTTTGGGGCTGGTGTGGGGGATCTGGCTCTAGTGCCAGCTCGGTGCTGTGTGGCCTTGGGCAAGTGCTTTCTCCTCTCTGGGTCTTGGTTTCCATCCAGGGAAAGAGAAGGAGCAGAGCTGGATATTCCACTGAGGGAGGCCCCTCCCAGCAGGGACATGCTAATGATGAGACTCTGGTTCAACAGGAAGATGGCTGAGGGTCTTGCTGCGACAGCCTCCCCTGGATCCGGCTGTGTTCTGGGCTCTGACCCGTTAACTGAACACAGACACTGGAGGGGAGAGTGGATTTTTGGACCATGGTTTCTGAATCACAGTTACTGTCACCTACGATGAGACCGCAGAGACATCACTTCACCTCCCTGAGCTTGAGTTTTGCATCTGTAAACCTAGGATGCCAACACAGCCCTAATTTCAGGGCTGCAGAGAGGAGTCAGGAGACAGGGTGTCAAGCGACTGGCTCAGGTGGGGACTGTCTTGTCATGGTCCTGGCCAGCCTGCCCTGGGGAAGGGTGGGTGAGCCCTGGACCATCTGGCCCCTGCTACCCCCCCAGCACTGCCCCCCAGCATGCTGCCAAGAGAGCCGGTGGCCAATGGCCAACAGCCCACAAAGAACCAAGTTCTTGTCTTACCTCCAAGGCTTCGTAGTACATATTTTTAGCCTCTGTATCTGTCTTGGCTGACATCAACCAGGATTTGATTAAATATTCATAAAAACTGTCCCCAAGTCCGCCAACCGAGACATGGTCTGTGAGGGGAAAGAGGACAAGACAAGAGCATCATCTCCATCTGCTGCCACCGTGGCGGGTGAACAAGGTGGCCCCAGTGTGGTGTTGGGGGGGTGAGGAGAGAGCATTTCAGTCAGCAGCCACCGAAAGCTGTCGGGGGCTGGTAGGAAGACATAGCCCGAGACTCCGAGGACTGTGGACAGCGGCGGAGGAGGAAGCCAGGGCCTTCTGAGTGGATCATCCCATGGAAAGCGCAAGGGCCCATCCAGGGCTATAAATCAGCTCGCTTTAGCAGGCTGCTGGCAGGGCCTCTGGTTATTAACTGTAAATGAGTTGCATTTCTTTAAGTAGATAATCTGGTGGCAGGGAGTTCAGAGATTTTTATTACCCAGTGACAAACACAGTAATAATTAATGCTGGGCATAAAAGGCCACGGAAAGTAGGAACAAGAGCCTTAATTTAGTGGACCAGACCCTCGAGTGCTAAGCCTCTCTGGAAAAACGAAGTTTAAATTTATCAAATTGGGATAAATGGAGTTCAAAGGATCAGGGAGAGAGAAAAATCAGGCTTGAAGATGCACTTTCTCCCCTGGTGGCACCCACCCCTTGTGCCCATGGACCAGCCTGAGTTGCCCATGGGACAGGACCTGTTGAGGTTATGGCTGAATGCGGACCCCTCTCCCGTGAGGGATGCTGTCCCAGGAGAAAGACGGGTTGCCTGAGGAACACTTGACCGCAGACGCAAGATGTGGAACTTATTTCACTCACATGCTTTAAAAATTAACAACAACAACCCTTCTGACCTGGAACGGAAGCCATTCCTGGAGACCACCTTCCAGCCAAACAATAAACAAGCCCATAAAATCAAACAATAACATCCGAGAGGAACGTGCTCCTTAGAACAATCAATTATACGAGATCAAAAGGGTAATATCTGCCCAAAAGCATAGATGAGAAGGCAGGAAGGGGCAGAAAATCAGGACGAAAGGAATCGGGAAAACCAGGGCAGAAATGAGGAGAGTGCTGACACATTGTGGGGAATGAAACCAAGGCCATGAATCACTTTATGTACAAACCATCGAATGGGAATCTAATTTGCTCTGTAAACTTTCACCTAGTGCACAATAGAAAAACAAAAAACAGGAAACATAAAAGTATTTAATAGCTATCACAAAGGACAAACTTCATTTCCATGTTATGATTCACTAAAGCAGAGAGAGGAAGGGAAGTGGGGTGGGCTGAAGGGAGGAGGGGTGGTGGAGTGGGAAGACTGTTGAGAAAGAGGGGGCAGAAAGAGAGGAGAGAGGGAAAGTGTGTCGGGAAGAGAGAAAACATGTCACCAGCCACCTTTTATTGTCTACTGTATTATTTAGAACTTAATCTTCTGCAAGATAAGCACTATCAACCCCATTTCTCAGATAGGAAAACTGAGAGCAAGCCTAAATAGGTTACTCAATGCCACCCAGATGGTGAAAGGTGTAGCCCACACTTTCTGCAGCTTTTACACGGTCAACCAGAGGGTGAAAATGAAGATGGACAGAGAAGGAAAGGACAAGTGTGGAGAGGGACCAAAAGACAGAGGGTAAAGACAGATGGGAACCTGGAAAGGGGGCCAAGAAGAGGTTAACTGCACAGTAAATCAGCCCTCCATCCCCCCTCTAGCCCTAT